AGAGAGAGAGAGAGAGAGAGAGAGAGCGTGCAGAAGAAAGAATGTTTGCAACAGACGAGCTAGTAAATGTGTAAAAGAAAAGGGAGAGGAAAAAAGCAAAAGAAACGAAAATCAATTTAAGAAGAAAGAAAGAAAGAAAGACACGAAAGAACCTGATACAAAAGAGAAAAACAAGGAAGGAAGAAAAAACAAAAAAGAGAAAAAATCGTAGGCTATTGAAAAAAAAGGAAAATAAAGAAGAGAGACCGGTAATTAAAGAAGGAAATAGAAAAGAATTAAATCCAGGTAATCTACAAGAAAGAAAAAAAATGAAAGATAAGTACAATAAAGCTGATTAAACGAAAATAATATCGAAACACTCTGTGATTTCCGTTTGGACATACAGCAGCCCCAAACGTGATAAAACCTCAATTTGTATAGAGGTTTGTGAGGGAAGGGCGATTAGTTGATGAAGAGTAGCAAAGGGTATGTGCCTACGCCCTTCTGTGTTTGTTTGTTTGTTCGTTTGCTTGTTTGTTTGTTTCATTCTGTCTTTTTTCTCTCTTTCCCCTCTACCTCCTCCTCTTTGTCTTTGTTCGTTTGTCTGTTTCTGTCTGTCTTCCCCCGCCTCCGTCTAAGTGTTTTTAATTTTGCTCCCCTTTTCTCTTCTCTCTATCTGTTTTTTAGTCTGTCTGTTTGCTTGTCTGTCTGTCTGTCTGTCTGTCTGTCTGTCTGTCTGTCTGTCTGTCTGTCTGTCTGTCTGTCTGTCTCATTCTTTTTTTTCTTTTTTCCCCTCTGTCTGTCTGTCTGTCTGTCTGTCTGTCTGTCTGTCTGTCTGTCTAACTCTCTCTCTCTCTCTCTCTCTCTCTCTCCCCTCCCACCTAGTCTTCTACAAAGATTCTTTCTTGTAATAAGAACGCGTACGTGCATAACCGTTCTTTCCCATTCACGCTTCGACCAGAACTTGTCCGGCGAATTCGACAACAGAGCCGTGCATTTGGTCAACACCAGTGACGTCACCAAACAGCGAGGAGGACCCACACAGTCCAACGAGAGTCTTGCAAGGACAGCCCAGGTGGGACGGGTTTGTGTGTGTATGTATGTGTGTGTGTGTGTGTGTGTGT